TAAGATTTCTTCCTTCCCGACCTCCCCGGCCGTTTATCTCGTATCTGGCCGATTTGTGTCACGTAGTTTGACAATTGAGCAGGCCGGCCAACCGGCGGAATTAGGCTCTGTTATTACGGCGAATCAGTGTCAGCACCGGTGCCAATGAAGAACGATCGCGGTTGTCGAGATTACCGCAACGAGCGCCGATCGAACGTGAGACCGGCGTGGCCGAATTAATTTAAGTAGACAGAGGAATTGATTCGAGTCACTGATCCTTAGCATAATTTACCACGGGAAAACTGAGATATTCATATCGTAAGATCGTGGATTTGTGTACGACAGGGATGAGATGACTATAGAGAACAGCACAAGAGACACGCGAAGGTTGCCTCGAGAGACTGTGAGCTTTGATGCTTTCGAAATTCTTATTTTATGTTCTTGACCATATACAGGGCTTCATTTCTTGTTCATTTCGCACCTTTTATGACCTCGAAGGCCACGTGCATTGATGCACGCTTTCACATAATTAAAAAAATATGTAGCATTACGTTAAGAAAATTGAAGGTTATGTTCGTTTCTTGCGAACGATTGCAAATATAAACATTCGGTACGCGTTATCACGTTGGGTGTGAAAAACTATAAAATATTTTCCTCTTTCACTTTTTTCATATACTTGCCGTTTCAGAGAGAAATAGTAACTGGAATTTCCGCGAATATCTCGCATAATTGTAGTATCATAGCAGGACAGTGTATTTTGTAATAATACTGGACTGCTATCGATAAATCGATATCTGAATACATATATGTCGATAAAATATCAGTGAAACAGTATTAGATAATATTGCAATTACCTATTAAAATATTTGTTATTTTAACATATTTTTTAGACATTAAAAATGCAACATAATAAATTCGAAAGATGATGTAATCCACTGTACATTACATTATAGCTACTAACATACTTACTAATAATGTATGTATAAATGTTAGTAATATCTGTCGTAAGAAAAAAATTGTTTTCTAAAGCAAGCGAAATTTTCATGTAGAAAATTATAGTTACATATCGTGCGCTAATAAATTTAAATAAATTTTTAATAATTTGGTTACAAATAATTCGTTGTACTTAGTCGTCTGTCTTTGCCTGAACGGTAAGATTGGTAAGTTATCGATACTTTATCGATAATCGATAATCATGTCTCTAGACGAGGTGGTAATACTTGTGGAGAAATAATGATTGACAATATGAAAATTATGGTCACTAACTGTGCGATTAGTTACCTCAATTGTTGCACGAACCTCGATATCTGCACGTATTTTCAGTCCCGTTTCATTTGACAGTCGAAGGTCTACATCGTCACGTTTTTGTCTTATATTTATGGTTGACTCCAATCCGATACTTTATCGCTCTATCTTTCTCAATCTTGAAGTATCCTGTTCGTTTTCTTTGTCACGCAACGCCCTGTTGTCTTGAACGGCCACTTCCAGCTAATAATAGAAATACGCCTGCTCGATTTTTATGATTGGGCAGGGAAGGTGGCCCTATTACATTGCGACCAATCAGATTCGCATTTCCTTCTCTTAGCGTTTCTAGCTTTAGTCTCATCTCTGCACAGCGTTTACACTGATCAACGTTACGTCTTCTTTTTATGTATGATCGACAAATATATTTTCCGCATAATATCTTGCATTTTCGTTACATATTATAATATAAGCTTTACGTGGAACGTAATTTTTTCGTATGAAATTTTTAGTAATCGAATTTAAAAGTAATTTGATGTAAATTTATTTTATTTTATACGCGAACAGAAAATATATTTTTCTGTGTACTGAATATTGTAGTGTCGACTCACTCGGTCATCTACCACGACTCTATGGCTATGGTACTATTTCTTATATAAAAATCTACTTAAAATGTTTAGATTGATGTTTATGAATGAGAAAATTTTTATTTAATTGTATTTTTTTATTTTTTCTTGTCCTATTTTCGTCGTGTGAAGATAGAAATTAATTGATGGTGGTCCTGAAATATTTGAGGGAAATGAAAACTGTTGCTTTGGGACTACTGTTATTCTACTGCAGCTATTATAGTCGTGTGTGGTGCTTTTATGATTTAGATCCGAAGGGTCGTATTCGGAACGTGTCTGATGTTTTTTGACCTTGTAGCCATCGCTTATTGGAACGATAACAATGACATTTATTGAATTTATTATACATCAGTAAGTAACAAATTCTTATTCGATTGAACCAATTACGTCATTCTAACCTCTTTCACTTGACTTGTGAACATATTAAGCTTGTTCACACGAGCCAAAAATATATTTTAGTTTATCTGAATTTCATTATTTTACGTTACACTGATTTATAATTTTCCGATAATTTTTCTCTCAAGTATAATTTTTTTTATACTAACAATCATTGTTTAAGGGTGAAAAGAACCACGTGGGACGAATTCTGCGCATCAAGCAGAGGCGCTAGTGTATTCTCAAGCAAATTAAATCTATTGCCACTTTGAATTATAAATTGGGCTTGATTGTATCTCGTGTCGGATCTTTTGCTGCATCAACATGATCTTCCTGAATGCTTAGAAAGTTCACGAAGTTAATTGATTTGCGGTAGTGATCTGAAACACATGTTACCGTTGAGAAATGCGAGACGTGAGATTGTCATACCGAGGTAATGAGTCTAGAGAGGGTCTGGGTAGGTTGTGCATGTGACAACTTTGAGATATGGTTTGTATTTAACTTCCTGTTGCAATAAAGGGCATCTCATTAAATGTAAATGGTGGCAAGATAATTAATTTCATTGTCCAATTCATGGATATGATAATAATTATTTTCCAAAATATTATGTACTTATGAAGTTTCAGAATTGAAATATAAGTTTTTCAGGGATATAAAAAATATAGACAATAAAATTTATGGAAGAAATTGTAAAATAAATGAACAAATAGAGAACAACTGTATAACCGAGCAAAACTTGATACTCTAGGTTTATAACTTGTTAATTACATCTTTAATAATTATAATATTTGATATATAGGTTATATATTAAAATTTTATATTTATAGGTTATATAAGATAACCTTAAAAATTGTACTATATATATTCCACATTGCACACTAGCCTATAGGATTTTCAGAAATACGTTTAATATACATTTGGTTGTGTTCGCATCTCCATTAGCAATGAATTATGAATTTTGGAGACGTGATTTTGATCAGTATTCTGGTTATTTCCTGAGTCCACTGTAATTATACGTTGAATTATCTAGTAGCGTAAATTGCGAATGGGTTATTCAGACTTATATTAATGAATAACTTTGTCTTTCTGCTAATTACGTGTATGTAACAATAGAATGACGAGAGTAATAAATTATATAACTTCTGCCAGATGGCAGTAGCGTGGATCAGGATATCGCAGCTGTTTCATGATCTAGATTAAAATTTATCAAGGGATCTTCATTGTGGCAATTTAGGTGCGATGCATAGTCTATCCTATAATTTTCTGTTCGCTATCAGTTGTCTATTGATTTCCCGTTGGATATGCTAAATAATTGTTTAGCTATTCCTTGAAATGCTTCGAATAGTTACTCGCAGACAAATACAATGCAATCTTCATGATCTAAATAACGTTACCTAAATTTTACAAGTAGTTCATCTAAAAGTTATTCATCTAAATGTAGAATTTTTTTCATTCTGCATTTGAAAATTATTGTTAATTTTATTAATAGTACATGTTCATATAATTTTGTAAACTAGTATAATAAAATTTTAATAATTTTCAACGTGTTGCATACGGTAAATGAAAAATAGCAATATTAATATTTAAAAATTGAACAAGAGATTAATACTAAAAAGCAATATTACTATGCCAATAATTAATTAAAAACTTACAAACAACAAATAAAATCTGGAAATAAGTTATAGATTTTCACACTATAGATCTTAGTACTATGAAACCTTAAAATTTAAAGGAAAAAATTTCACTGATTCAAATTATTTTTATATAACTTATTTATTTAACCTGCTTTGAAACTAAAAGTAAGATCCACAAATCTCAAAAAGTACATATCAAAGAAAATATTTTAATAAAATCTCTACTAATTAAAATTGAAACTAAAAATTACGTGATCTATAGAATTAGTATGTGATTCAGTAATCTTGTTATTCCAAATAATGTTATTCAAAAATATTGTTATCAAAAATAACGCTATTCAAAATGTCTGTCATACCTTTGTATTACATTGCATAGAAGGAACAGTATTTCCCTGTCATAAAACAGAAGGCTAAAATTTATTTTAATTCAGTCCTCTATACATAGCAATTTTAATGTCCCCTGACTCCATCAAGCGAACACATATAATACTTACATACTTTGATAGCAGATATTAATTCGACACGTTATGACTGTGTCCCACGATATCGTAAATTACTCGGTGGAAACAATGTGTGTGCGATTACAGTAGTGACAGATTGAGCAACGAGCAGTAGTGGATTAATCTCCTTGCATGGTAAACGCACGCTGTCACGTGTACATACTATAGCCAGCCTGTGGTTTATTTTGTCTACAAACAGCGCATACTTCCCAGACACAGGCTAAGGAGTTCAAGCTGGCACAGTATTGCAACTGTGCTTGGTTAATGAGCCAACCGATCGTCGTTTTATTGAGTCGCGGCCAATGACAGTGCTAGAGTGTGCTAGAAAAAGACAGGATGAATTATAACCGTTTATCATCGTCCGTTTAATTACATTTTACGAGTGCACTTACGATAGATATTTCGTGGAACGTCGAATTCTTGATCGTTATTGAGATTGCAAGTTGCTGATAGTCCTCTATTATGAACGAGTATTTCGACCCTAATCCGGAGCATTTGCCAGGATTATCCATATTGTAACGTCTTTCACTCCATCGTCACATCGCCATTGTACTCGTCAGTTCAAGCTGACATCTTTGTCACATTTAAAAAGAGAAAATAAAATGGCAATATGTTAAAGTGGAACCAATGATTTTCTGTTGCAGGTGGTCTGAAGCACGGAAATGGAGGCATAGGTAGCGCCAGTAGCTCTAGAAGTACAAGTCCAAGTCAGCAACAGTCACCCCAAAGTGGACTCTCCTTTATTCCTCAACCTAGAAGTCAAAATTCAACGAACAGACAACCGGTAGCTACAACCCCAAGGTAAATATCAATTTTCTTTCACGATGTAACATATGGATCCGTTGATCCTTCTCTGGTGTTACGTCGTTCGTTTCATTCGCCATTTTGTGAAATGGTAATTCTATTGGAGTACAGAGTAATCAGTGGATATCATACGTTTCAGCCCTCGAACGTCGACAGTGGGGAAACCCAGTAGCGTAAGGACTGCTCAATCTTCACCGTACACCACCACGGGAGCACCGACCCAGCAGAACAAGAACTCCGTCTTAGATAAATTCAAGCTTTTCAATAACAAGGAAAAGAATCAAGATCGCGGGAAAGCTTCGTCCGGCGTGTCGAAACGTACGTCCAGTTCCTCAGGCTTTTCCTCGGCGAGATCGGAACACTCCGATAGCTCGACGTCCCTGTGCGACCAGAGTAAGCTGCAAGTGGAATCACCCAAGAGCCGAGCGTTGAAATCGAAGTTGCAATCGACCAAGCCGGCGAAGCAGGCCAGCCCAAAGACCGTGAGGAAAGAACAGAGCAAAGCTCAAAGTAAAATAGCACGGACGAAGGGTGCGCCTGACAAGTTAGTCGGCTACAATCCACCCTTGGAAGATGTCAAACCGACCAGTAAACTCGCTGGCGTGGGGACGAAGTTGGCCATGGACAAAAAGTCCTCGAATCTGCACGATTTGCTGAAGCAACAGCCGGCCAGTCAGTTGCAAAAGCCGAATCCTTCCGTGTTGGTGGCCCCCAAACAAATAGCTCCGCAGGATACAAAGAACTTTGGCAGTTTGAAGAACGAGACGAAGCAGCAGTCACCGAGGCCGAAAATGGAACTGCCAGGCAAAATACCTGACACGAAGGTCCACCTGCAAAACATGAAAGTCCCGCCAAATGGATTGAACAAAGATGTCCTGGCACAGAAGGGACTATTGAATAACGCCAACGGTATGATCAAGCAAACCGATCACGAGGAAATGGTGATCATCAATGAGAATAGCTGTATGATGGATCATACGTTGTCTATGAACCAGGCGAATTTATGCGACCAGAAGGCGACGATAGAGAAGCGAAAAGAGATAGGCGAAAATGTATTAACGAATAATCAGATGGTGATGGTAGAGAATATGAGTAGCCCGTCGAAGCAGCAAAATACAAGCTTCCCTATGAAAGGTAGAATACCGAATGAAGTTCAAGAGGTAGAACGGACAAATGGAAAGCAAACACCTCCCGTTTCACCTCGTAACAGCCCAGAAGTAACGATGGATGTCAAAATGACGAGTATCCAAGAGAGCTCTATAGTTCCTGCAGCGAACGTTGCTCCTCACACAAACGTTACTCCTCATGGGCAGGTCTCGAATGCGTTGAATTTTGGACCGAACAAGCAGCCTTTGATACTCGGCAGTCCACTGCAAGGTTCAACTTTAAGTGCTTCCGGGAGCCCAAGTTCCAGCATTCCAAAGCCCACGGCCTTGGTGAAAGGCACCTCGAAGCCACCGAAGGAAAACAACATACCGGGCGTACCGACGCCCACAAAATTAAAGGCAGACGCTTTGCATCGTAAGCTCGATCCGAATACGGTTGCAATGGTGTCACCGATGCCAAGTATTTCTGATCTGATGTCCGAGAGCTCGCATAGTAATTCTAATAGCACCGGTCAGAGTAATTCCAGCGACAGTAGCGTTATTTATAGGCCCAGCAGCGAGAGCGGCAGTGAAATAAAAACCATACCCAATAGAAAAATTGATACAACCTTCGAACACATGGAGAAGGTTAGTAGCTGCTCCATCCATAGCTTAGTATATCCATATATCCATGGCTTAGTACATACATTATATTTATATAAACAACCATCAGCAGCAATTGCTGTTCCTGTAATAAATCCTGTACAGTGAGCAGTATGTGATGCACGTTTTAGTTAGGCAGCCTGGTTAATTATAGAGACAGGCTTTAATAAGGTCGACTTTGCAGGTTCTGAGTGAAAGTTCAACGTGTGGAGGCTCTATGGGTGACGACGAAGCGGAGATGACAGTGAAGCCCATGCAGCCTCTACTTCGCGGTTACACACCGGGTGCAAGGGCCCTTCAGACTTTGCCAAGCAGAACAACCGCGCGACAGTATACGATTCTTCATTCTTCTTCTCATCATCATGTCGGTCACGATTACGCGGACATCGACGTCGCCTCCGGTTATCTCAGCGATGGGGAAGTTCTTCGTGGTGGGATGACCGTCGGTAGTAGAACTCTATCCGACTTATGCGATGGTTACATGTCCGAGGGCGGTGCTTCGTTGTACGCACGTAGAATCAATCCGTCTTACGGCCACGATCACGAGAGGTAAGTTCGTAGCAATATTAATCTTGAGAGCAAGCCAGATGTAAGAGTTAAGAGAAAGTTCCGTATAGCTGGATATTTAAATGAAAAATCTGAAAATTAATGGGTCTGCTTAATCGGTCGGTATTAATTTCAAGCTTTCGTTTTAATAATTGTATTAAATAATTGAATTAATTGGATATTTTTTCTTTTTGTTTACTTCTTTGTAATTTAACAAATTCGAAGTTTTCTTTTTTGACAACTTATAAGTGTAATTTAATTGTAATGGTAAATTCAATTTATATAAAGTTAGGTTAGGTTTTATGTTTATAGTGTCAGTTTTTGGGAAACTGTTTTTAATTTTCGATATTAAAATTGTTTTTAATATTTTTATTGAAGTACACGGTGTACGTAGTTAAAATTCTTATAAATTTAGTTTGAAGTTGGTTTAATGAAATTTAGTGCGATTTACCGTTGAGAGGCTTACAAACTTGGAGTATATATATGCTGAGCTGATCAATACTTCGTCTTCTGATCTATCGTTCACGCGGTTATTCATTTACGTCTCCTCTCCCACGTGACTGCACTAATGATATTAATATCTTCTTGTCAGCTATTTTTCAAAACCAAAGTTCGTACTTTTTATAGGTTTTTAATAACATAGAAACATACACAGACGTATATTTTACTAAAAATATATATATCCATAACATTTCATTTAATTATTTATTTTAATATTTTAATAAGAAATATATTTTATATTTTTGTATTTTATTTTTTTACCCATATTTATTTATGTTTTTTATTACTTTTATTCTTACTTACATACTTTTTTTCAATATTATTCTTTATTTATGTGTTATATAATA